TGATATAGATGTTAATACGGAAAGTGCAGGTTTGAGAAGTGGTTTCAATGAGTTTCGCGTAAACTTTTCTTCGCGATGCATTCTTTACAATTTATAATGTGAAGAAATTAACATCAAAATTTGCAGTTTTAGTGAAAAATGTCATGTCCAACATCTCTCAAAGGTTTGTTTCATTGTGCGGCGGGTTTAACTGTATCTAAAGTGCCTTCAATTTCTCATTCTCAATCCGAAAGACATATCTGAGCCATAAATAGTTGCTCTACAAATCTTGCTGAGCACATACCAATATCAAAACTGAAGCACAAAAGATTCTAACATCTTAATTACGCTTGTATGCAATTATTCGTGCCTAGGAGATACTTTTGTAGCATAAATGAAGAATTGAAAACTCTCTGCCATTGAGGATTCTCGCTGTGAAGCCCGTCGTTGGCACTGCGTCGCGGATGAAGAGGTGAGTGCCTGGACAGTCAAAACGCCTTCAACTCCGTGCGTATGCAACACGGACATCCATGGAGCTCGAATAGTTGCATCCAGGAGTTGAGATGAAAATAGTGTTCGTCGCATTTGACATTGACTAAAAAATATTTGCTTGTTTTTCTTTCTCTGTAACAGAATTCCAGCGTTGCCTCTTGGTCCGATGAAGTAAACTTTTACTGAGTCTCATCACGACATTGTCAATTTTCCAAATAATACTTTGATTATTTAAATATATAACAACGTTGCCGTCCTAAATTTCACTGCGACTCATGAGAGCTTACGGGGAAAACATTTATTCCTGATTTGGCAATTAAATTGTTAAAAATATGTCCATGTTTCAATTGTACATTGTATAATGAAGGAAAGCTAAATTAACCGAGTAGGTGGTTAAATTAGCATTTTTTCATTGTACCTAAAATCTACATTGAAACACGTGGGAGACTTTCTTTTAAAAACAAAATTGTTAACTTAACAATTTCATTATTTTCTGTGCTTTTGAATATGAAAATATACCGCGAATATTTCGAACAATTCGCAAATTTCGCGAAATTTCACAGAATCCTCTATTTTCACTGACAAACGGACGCTCTCTCCCTCCCCCGATATTTCCAACTATCGATTCGATTTGCAGAGCTTTTTAGCGGATGTATTTTCCAAAGGAGGGCTTAATAGAGCTTTTAATACAATGAGGAGGAGCTCGGAGCGTGGAAGCTTAACAAGCACTTAAGTTGGCTAACAGTAGCCGCGGACAGCCGGGGGCACCGGGGCAGCGCCCAGGGTGTAGCCGGCTAATGGAGCCGTGCAACTCGAGCCGCGAAAGACTATAATAGATCCCGTCTGCTGACGCTCAGAGACTATAGACTCCTTACTCACGGCGCGCTGTAAAATCTCCAGCCTCTCCCCCGCTAATCTACCATGCCAACATTCAGCGCCAAGCCTCACTTCGAGTAGTGAGTGGGGTCAGGTACACTTACGCCGTGCATTGCCAAATCTGGCAATTTTCCGGTTTTGAATTTGCATGGTTTTCGGGTAGATATCTCGCTCGAGCGGCAGATTTCGAAGCTTGGCTGACAAAAGAGCGTAACTACAATTTGAGATGAGCCCGAGAGAGCATTGAGCTATACGGACAACACGGCTCATCGTCGAGTGAAGTTACGCCCTTCTGTCAGGAAGGCGACGATTTGTCATTCCATACACTGAAAACCAAATTAATAGCTACACTATTTGAAATGGGAGCCGTTCAAGGATTACGCTCGCCACTTGGCCGAATTTTTGACCCCTCCCTTCTTCTTGTAGACAGCCCCCGCGATATAACCTTCCATCTTTCTTTTTAATTACGCGAGACGGGCTTACTCGATTTTCAGAAAATAATATAGTTTTTCTAAGGAGAAGGCTTTTACGTACATAGGCGGATCCAGGAAGGGTGTAGAAGGAGTCTCACCCCCTCTCCCTTCGTTCTTTCGAAAAAAAGGAGGAAGAAAGAGGGAACAAAGAAAAAAGGGAGAAAGGAAGGAAAAAAGAAGGAAGGACGCTTTTCCCCCCTTCCTTTGGATTTGGTAATTATTCTTGACGAAATTTAATCCAACTGCACAAAAGATGCTGTAAAAAACAACACTGTCCGTTCCCCTATCTGTTACATGCCGAAGGTATTGCACTAAATGACCGTCTCTTCCCTCATATGTGATTATTTGCACATAAGTGTTTTTTCAGATGAGCCAGAATTTATAGTTCCAAATTGCAAAATGCAGTCCATTTGACCTACTGATTAGTACAGCAATTGAAAATAGCACCATTTGGTGACCCCGACGTGCTTGGGAATTTTGAAAATTTTCCAGGAGGAACCCTCCTTCTTCAACCCCCGTCCGAAGTGTCCGGAATCCACCTATGTAGAGCTGTGCTTTCTCAACAGCATTTCGCATGAAATATTGGCAATTCATAGAACACATTTCCAAAGCATTTCGTTCAGACCGGAGAACTTTTTCCCGACATGGAACTTTCCCCACTCGAGACGCGTTGCGGAAAGCCACCCCCTCCTCCCTCCACACGACAACCATGGAATCCACACGGGGGCACGGCCGCCAGATTTCCAGCTCCGGGGTGCATTTCCCGGGGGGAGCGTGGGGCTCCCGACGGCGATGCTGCAGCGGCGGACTCAGGAAGAGCGGTGGAGGGTGGACTGGGGGAGGGGGAGGGAGGGGCGCGGAGAGAAGTGAGGATAACGCCAAAGAAGGCGCTGGCCGCTCATTCAAGGAGTACAACCAAGAATGCAGTCGGCTCTGACTCCGAGCCCGAGCTTTGCTCCTCCACTTTGTGCCCGAGCCCGTGGCCTGCCCAAGGCCCCCGTTGCCCTTTGTTTCTTCTCTGGTGCTTTCCTCCTCCGTCAAGCTCGCCGGTCCTCCTCGCCGCGCCAGAGTGGCTCCGGGAGAAATTATTAGAGCAAATATGAAAATAACTGATGAGAAAGGAGACACGATCAGAGACAAGAGACCCTCCACTGGCCTCTTCGCGACAGATGGGAGCTTTTACTTTCGGGGATTCAATACTCCTCATGGAAAATTGGACAAAACAAGCCGCAGTTTGGGAAACTTGTTTGACTCATGACGTCACCCAAAGCTCATCATCTACCATGTAGAATTGTAAATAGGTCAACAGCCGAGAAAAGGGTGATGGCTGTTGCTCCTTTATAATTGGACCGTGTTTAACAGAAAGGAACCAAGCCACATCAGCTACTGCTAAATTTAACTAGGCAATTTAATTTTTTACGTGAGAACGTTTGTGCGGATTCCTTTGAAAATTTTAAGGAATTTTCTTCGCGCTATGGAGAAAATTCACTGAAATTTGCACAAGAATCCGCACAACCGTTTTCGTGTATAAAATTAAATTGCCAGATTAAATTTGGCAATAGCTGCTGTGGCTTGGTTCCTTTCTATTAAACGCGGTCTAATTATAAGGGAGCAACAGTCATCACCTTTCCCTCGGCTGTTGACCTATCTGCATGGTGGACGAGCTTTGGGTGACGTCATGAATCAAACAAGTTTCCCAAACCTCGGCTTGTGTTGGCCTGTTTGCAAAACGAAACTGCCAACACGTTGCTAAACGTCAACCATGTAGGTAAGTCAACGGTTTAATCTTGATGTCCCGAGAGTTAAAACTTCGACAATAGCCGAGATACGAGTGGAGAGTCTCTTGTCTCTGTACATGATTGATACGAGGTTAGGGGCCGTTCAAGTATTACGTAACGCACTTAAGGGGGGGGGAGAGGGGGGTTTGAGTTAGCGTTACTGTGCGTTACAAGGAAGGGGCACCATGCCTAGCGTTACGTCAAAAATCCGAGCCGGGGGACGAAAAGAAATTTCAAAAAAGCGTGCAAAAATGGAAAATCCCACCCTTCCCGAATGAATCGTTTCGATATTATTTCAGTATCATTTTTGCAATGGTTAACTTATTCAATATTGTCCGAGTGCACTTCTCCGGTAAACTCACGGATAAAACAAATCTAATCATGTATTTTCACACCTTTGTTGCTTCCTTCCCGTCGTATTTCAGCGAAATATCTCCCAAAAAAACCTATTTGGTATAATGGGGTCGTACGGACGTTCAGTAGGCATGTAAATCAGTAATTAAGTAGAAATGTGGGAAAAATCTTAGGCGTGCGGAAATCATAACAAAATACGCTACTTCGTCAAGGTCTATACGAACGGGTGCAGGCAAACAAACTGAAAATTAGTCTAATGTAACTACAAATGGCTAAAGACATAGAAAAATCTCTGCAGAAATTTAAGAGCCGCGGAGTTTGGGGAATGAGAGCGCTTCAGATCAGCAGGGCCAAAATTTTGTCGGGAAAAACCTAAAGTTGGATGAACCTACAGTTTGCTCTAGACTAGTCAAAAGTTTTAACGTGAGAAAGCTTGATCAATGATTTTTCCTCTATTGCTCCTTTTGTGCGGATGAATAAATTGTTGTCATTTTCTTAACTTTAACCTGGCAAATGGTAAAATTCATCAGTTGCACATTGTTGCCAAATATAGTTCCAGTATCCAACTAAAAACGAAACATACATTGTTGTTGTGCTGAGTAGTAATGTGATAGGACGACTAGTGATATGCTTAATGTAAGTGTAGCAAAGGACTGATGTTGAACATCGTCCCTCTGATAAAGACTGAAACACACAGACATGCTTATATTCTACGTCAGAGTTGCCACAAAATTTAGAAAGTGAAATTCCCTGACATTTTCCTGACATTCTTGAGTAAAATTCCCTGACAATTGAAGATGTGCCATACGGTCACAAAGACATGATTTGAAATAGTTTCCAGGCAAAATTTGTTGTTCTCAACGTCAAATCCACTCCAGAAAGCTAATGAAGGTAACAAATTTTCCCGGACATTTTCGTCATTTTACCCGACATTTCCAGGTTTTCCCTGACTTTTAAAATTCCCTGGCATTTCCTGGTATTTTCTGATTGTGGCAACCCTGCTGCGTGCAACTGACCCTACGAAGAAAAAGAAGTTCAATTTGTTTACCCATTGACTCAGTATAAGCTCCGCTAGCTGTCGGGTAGGTCATGGTGTTCAGGTAGTCACCGATCTCGCTGACCAGTGGCGGGCCTGAAAAATCAAAAATGACCCCTGAAACCATACACGCATTTCAGGCAAATGATCCATCAACGATAGTTGTAACGAATTGAAACCACCCAACTTCCTACTTGTCGATAGGAACATTACCATTTTTAATCAGATTAAATCCACAGAATCTGATAAGTCTGGTGTAAGTACATACTGTGGGCTGCATTTTTTTCAAGCAATCCCGCAAATCGCGATGAGAATTCGATTAATCTGAGTTCGGCTTCAGACCACGTGATCGGATTGGCTGGTGTCATTTGAGTTATTTTAATTTTTCATTGATTTCCTAATTTAACCTTGTGTAAGCGCTTGACGGTATGTAGTCAAATTAATAAAACACAAATCATACGAATGGCGTTATTCATATTTTTGTCTTGTAGCGAATACTAATTGAATATACTTAAATCCTCTTTATGGGACGATTACCGAATTTTTCGATGCAGGAATAGTTTTCTACGTAAAATGTTTAGGTAAGAACATGTTTCTATGTAAAATTTCGAAGAGAGAACGTGAGAGAGAGAGAGAGAGTGTAGTGCCTCCCTGAAAAATTGAGTGAAATGTTAAATCCCAACAATTCCGATTATCCTCACTCGGACAACTATTCTGCCGTGCTAAGGGAGTATGCCGTATGATCCTTCAGACGTTGCCAAATTTCCTTCGATAAAAAACGAATTTACTGGGAAAATTGTGAATATTCCCCCCCCCCCCAAATTTTCAGACGATTTTGTACGCAATTTAATCAGAAATGTCTGAAAATTTTAAGGAAAAATATGCTCGAATTGCGTCAAAAATACACGTTCTAGCGAGGAAAATTTGGCAACTCACGAATGTTTATACGGCGTTCTTGCTTATCACGGCAGTATTCTGCCGTGCTATGGAAGAACGCCGTATGAACATCCGAGAGTTACCAAACTTCCCCCGAATATAAAGTGTATTTTTGAAGGCAGTGGTGCATATTTTTCCTTGTACTCTTGGGATATTTTAGGTTCAATTGCGTATAAAATTGTTTAAAAAATTTGGGGGAAATATTGACAATTTTCTCAGGAAAATCGGTTTTTATTGAAGAAAATTTGGCAACGCCTAATGGCTCATACGGCGTTCTTGCTTATCAAGGGAGTATTCAAGGTCCCCGGATATTCGGTGGCGGGGTGATTGCGCTGGACGGTGGCCCTTAATGCCCTCGGCTTTCATTAGCGTGGCTATCATTTCGGCGGATGGACGGGCGGAGTGGTCACTAATTGAGGCGTTTAACACCCTGGTAGTCAATCAACCGGGTCCTCGCCATTGGAAACCGATCATACGCGGACGCGAATACTAACTCGCTAATAACGATACCTCTCGCTCCTGTGCATCCGCACAACGACAGTCCGATGCATTTCGACACTCACACATTCTCGGCCACTATCACTATCGCAAACTTTCCGGGGCCGAAATCGGATTTTTCGCGACGACGCACAGTGGAAAGAGTTAATGGAAGAGGTTGGACATGAAATTGTTGGCTCAAATTTTAAAGTTTGCAGGGTGTCTACTAAAACAGGCTGGCCAAAAATCAGTACTTATACAGTACTTTTTCAGTACATTCCCAAGAATTTCAGGACCTCCTAAACAGAAAAATGCAGAGCTTTTTCAATACCTCCATTCAACGGAATTTGAAAAAATTCAAAAATTTGAATTTCTCGCTCAAATTGCGACAAAAATGACAAAAAAATGAAAAAAATTCCGGACTTCCTGGTGGAATTTCCGCACTTTTTCAGTGCTTCCGGACCGCCCTTAAAAATCAGTACTATTTCCGGACTCACCGGAAATTCCGGACTTGTAAACACCCTGTTTCAACGTTTATTTTGTTACAAATTCCATTTTAAGGGGTGTTTCTGAGAGGAAATTTGCCGAAAAAATCCATGGAACCACCCTTAAAATTTTTCGTTTCATATTTTCAAAAATATAAGCTTTCAAAATTTCCGAAGTTTGTCCATTTTCTCCCATTGACTCGATCCACTGTGCGACGGTGACGACTTCGGTAGAGAGTCGGATTTGCTTCCACGCGGACGAGCCGGGATAAAAAGCTTTCCGTGATCGGGATTGGGTTGTTGCGAACGAATCGCAGTGTACTACAAAACAACGAAAAAAGAAATTAAAAAAAAAAAAAAAAAAAAAAAAAAAAAAAAAAAAAAAACCGATGGCGATCCTCGGGAGCTGGTAATATTGTCTTTCCTCCATTGAAATCTATCATGAATAATCGACTTTGGTCGAGCCCGTTTCGATTGTTTGACATACATTTAAATTGACGGAGTGCAGTGTTGCCAACCTGCAAAAATCGATTTCATCGAAGAGCGAAAGGCCTCGAATGTGAAATACTCTGGTTTGCTCGGTACTTTATTGATCGGAAATTGTATCAATGGTGACGATTAGACTAACGTTCAAGTATAGAATCAATTACAAAGTTAATGAACACCACTTCAAATTGAAAGCGTGAAAATAATAAGAGAAACAACGGTAGGATAAGTTGATACAAGACACAGACGGAAATAAAATAAATTAAATCGTTTGCAATAAGGGTATATGTGTGCGCACGAGCTTGGAAACGTTCCAAGGCGTTGAGCGATAACTATTCAAACTTGACCGTCGTGCGGATTGCATACCCACTTGTTTTGAAGGCGCTTTTTGCACACGCGTCTGAGGATGATTGGTGATGGCTGATGGGACGGCATTAACCAGTATTAACTTGACTACATTTTACGTTGCCCAATTTTTCCTCATGTTTGACTTGGTTAAGTAAAAATTCAGTGACCCCACACTTTAAAAACGCACCGATATTTCACTGAAAAAAAAAGCATGGTACCATTTACAATGAGTCTACTTGATTTTTAACATAGTGAGACTATTTAGTGAAAATAACCAGAATTGTAGTATTATCCACCAGAAATTAATTGATTCTTACCATAATATGGTAAATGCTACCATAGAGTCTGGTGGTTATTACCGTACTCGTATGACTGTGTCAGATTATGGTAAAATCTACCGTATTTTTTCTTTCAGTGTTCCCCAAAAATTGGAGGAGGGGAATGCGCCTTCGACTATGGGGTTTTTTTGTCTTTTTTTCAGGAAAATTCACACAATGCGTCATTCCAACCCATGAAATACCCACCTCTTGTCTAGCAGTTTAATCCTAGATCACCCTGTATGAAGGCACTCTAGGTACGACACAGCGCTTGATTGAGGCTTGGGCAACGCTTAATCAACATTTAATCAAGTAAGGCACGCATGCGCCGTATCTCAGAGGAGTGGGCGGACGCAGGTGACATTGACGTCAAGACAAAACTTGGAAGTGAGAACTCGAGCCAGGGCCGCGCTCGAGATCCGTACACACACACACACACACACACACGTCTTTAGTTGGGAAAATATCTCTGCTCTTTATTCAAATCATGGGTAAATATTATGGCGTGGCATGGCGCGCCACGCTTCGTGCACCCGGCGCGGCGGCTCGGCGTTATCTCCCTAGTTTCCGATCTTCTATTAATTTCGACGCATGCGAAAGCGTCAGCGATGGCATGCTTGATGCATTTCTGACGCTTTTGGTGCTGCATTATGTAGGAATAGACTGATTTAGTGCCTACGTAATTCGATATGGACGTATATCTGTCAAACGGAACTATGTGTAATAAGACATGAGCCATGAGGCCCATAAGAATATATGCATAACAGGGCTCACGTCATAATGCACACAGTTCCGTTTGATAGAAACACGTCCATATAATATCGAACCCTTGGTTCAAATTCAAAAAAACACAGAACCTTGTATCTGATTCGCGCTCTTTGCGCCATGGTGGTAAAATGTGTTCAAGTGTTTCTTACAATCGAAATTTCGTTGTTTAATGAGTCTTTAATTAATTTATGACTGGTCAATAACTAAGTTTTAATAAATTGACACAATTAAACTGATGAAGAATTCGTGCATGGGATTATGTGTTAGTTTGTTTTGGTTTGAACCAAGAGTTCGATATTATATCGAATGATGTAGTCACTAAGTCGGTCTATTTGATGTGTGGAAAAGGGACTTCAGTCCACAGAGAGTCAAAATAGAGTAACGGGCAGGCTAGGTAATTATACACTAAATCAAAAGTTATACGTTCTTTGATGAGTGGATTTAACTACGGTAAAATAATAGCACCAAAACTAATGCTGCCTTATGTTTCCAGGCAGGAAAATAGCTAGTAAAATACTGCGGAAAATCAGAATTTCGTTAACGATTTAAGATGTCCCGAAAGATGTGTCCGTCTCTTTTAGGGCAAAGGATTTAAGAACGTGATTTACGTTGACTTTTACTCGAATTTTCGAGTCAGTAAATTGGGATTTATATGATTCATAGCTTTCGTTATGCGTCGTAGGTCATAATACAACTATTGAGTTATTAATGTGAACAGAAAAAACCGCAACAAGGATTTGAACATTGAAAATATGATACAGATCTGATGACAAACTTAATAGCAAAAGTCCAATTTAAACAAGTATGGGACTGGTCACGTGTTTTGTCTTTTCTTGCGTCCATTGAACGTACATACTAACGCCAATTCAACTCTTGGTGGCGTTCACGTGTTTAATGTTTGCCCCTGGCTTAAAACTAGGCATTGTCCCTAAGGAGCTGTGAACTTCAACTTAGGCATCGATCTGCTTGTTTCACTTTTTTCTGGGCGCACATGATTGGTTGATTGGTAATCAAAGCACAGTATGGTTTATTGCTCCTGCAAAACTTTCTAACGAAGAGAAGCGGCGATGTGGAAAGTCGATCTAAGACCGAACTTGCGACCCAATTAAAATGTTGAGTTTTTTCAGGATGATGTAAGGATACGACGTACTCGGACATGCCCCGTCCCTCTAGAGGCATTGGCGGATCCAGTAAATTGGCAACATTGTTTTTCTCCGTTTAAACCAATGGAAATGTATCGATTCTTGGTGGGGCCAGGTGCTCCGACCAGAATCGATTA